CGCCCAAGCAAGAAGTTTGGATGGTTTCAGATGTCATTGCATATCCAGATCGAATTCTGGAGCTAATTGGACGCTGGTGTGGCGGAAGATGGGCGACCCATTTGGTGGTCACAATGAAGTTTCAGGGAACAGAACCGTCGTTCGCAGATCTACAAACATCTATTGACTTGGCCAAAAGCCTTGGTTACGATTGTCGAGCCAAGCATTTCTTCAACAACAAGAATGAAGTTACCCTTATGCTCATCCAAGACAAGGAAGATGGTTGGGCTTCCTACCCACTTGAGCCCAGAGTTCTGGGCATTCCCATGTACAAGCCCTTGTTACCAAGCCGATAGCACCAACCCAAGTAGATTGAGACGGTATAATAGTCAGTGGTGGACGGACTTCAAAAATCTTCTGCCTTTCTGAAGAAGAAGTCTAGAAAGGGCGTTCCTTGCGGGGATGTTTTGCTGAAAAGTGTGGACGATGGATGTACTGGGATGCAACCGAGAGTATTCGAAAGATTGAAGAACATCTCTTCTTTGGTCAGGGTGATCGACACGTCTCTACTTGAGAGCATTCAGGAGACTAGGCTATCCGAGACTTGTCACCACTGCGGCAGATTGTATAAACTAGAGGCCCTACTGCGGTGTAGTCGATGCAAACGAGTCCATTATTGCTCCAAAGACTGCCAAAAAGCCGATTGGAAGTTGCCAACTCATCACCAAAGCCACCAAAGCCCGTAGCAAGAAGACTGATAATGCATGGAATTCATTTGATAATTTCCTTCAAATGCACTACGTGTAAACGATACTCAAGATGGTTGAAGCATGTGACAGGACTGGTTTGAGTATAGACGAAATGGTCGTTGAAATCGATCTCATGGCCAATGAGGATGGCGTCATTCCTGCCCTACAAACTCCACCTATCTTTAAGATTGCTCCGATTCGGATTACCTCGAAGGCTCTCGAGTAGAGAAGCCTCATTTCCGTTCTTGTATCCAAAGCACAATCCGCATCATTGGAAGGAAGAAGTCCGATCGGTCCGCAAAGGTATCAAAATGATGGACCCTTCAAACACAAAGGAGTTGATTTTCATGATGAATTACGCAGGTATTTATCTCCCTCGGACTTGGGAGTAAGTTCAGTGGTAGTTCTTTCCTATGGTGAATTCTGTTGATTGCATTTCTAATCTCAATATTTCTTACGGGCACAATCTTCAAAAAGGCAGCGGTCGATGCATTTCGATCCGACATTCGTTACCACGATATTGAAGGGCTATCCAAGCTGTTCAGTCCAAATGATTGCAGATATTTTGTTGCCCAACTTGTCG